TCTTTCAAAGCAACGAAACCAAAAGTTATTTCGACATCGTTTCTATATAGTTCTGTAACGTGAGAAGTCGATATCTCTTAAAAAACGAAGCGTTTGCGAACGAACGTCCACAGAAAAATTTTATTTCATTCGAGATGTTTTAAACTCGTATTTGAAATTGGCGGGAATACTCTGTACTTTTTGTATGCTTCTTGTGACTGTCTGATACTATCCTGCTCATTTTTTAACTTATTGAAACGATTGTGCCTGTCACAAGTTCGTCGGACTCCGAGTTCTGTGAGCGATATAGTATCTCTATAGTAGAATCTCTACTTCCCAAAGTAGAAGAGACCGGCGATGACGCGGTCACGTGATCGCGTCATGTGAACAATTCGAAAAGCACACGCGGCGGTCGAGCCACGGTTTCTTATCTGAGCTATACGTTTTCCAGATTCCCCATTCGAGTATCACTCGGATATCACATTTTATCTTGATTTCTCATCGAATGGAAGGGGGGGGGGGGGGGGGGGAATCTACTCCTGGAACACGGAGTGAATTGGCGCGGCACGAACGACAAAATTCGCAATACGCTCCGCTCCGCCGTCCGTCCACTTGCCGCTTGTCGTCTTTAACGCGCGTGTGCGATACGTGCACACGTATCTATACGTGGCGTACACTTACCTGACGGTCTTCGAGATCTAGCACGAGGAGCATCCACCGACGATGATCTCTGGTGACGCGCGTCACCGCCGCCGGCGTGGAACTCGCGTAATGGCGTGGGGGGGGGGGGGAAAAAAAACTCGAGCACGGGTGTGTTGTGTACGACACTGACGTCGCGGCGTGTCCTCTGATCGACGTGCGTGTCACCTCGCGACACGGGATCCGCGACGGATTAACAGAAGTACGGCGACCGACGGTCGACTGGCGGAGAGAAGGAAGAGCGCGAAATCCTCCCACAACGAAGGTCGAAGCGCGACTGATTTGAAGTGCGCCGCTGTCGCGCGCGGCAACGGTTCGCCGTGAAGTGCGCGCGCGTCTCACTCGCTCTCTCTCTCTTGCTCCCGCCACTGTCCTTCCTTGTGCTCGCTTGGGACAAGTCCCGTGATACGTATACCTGTCGATCTCTCACGGGCGGACGGTCTCACACACGATTATTTCCTATACGTACCCGGTAAGTTAAAACACTCGCTCGTCATTTACAATTTTATAATTTCGTCCGATTATCATCTCGTAAAGGCTCGCTCTGCGATTGTGTTAAATAAGCGTTTAGGTTCTTTCCCGTGCGACATACGTTTCAAGTGTGTCCTGAGAACGGAAAACTGTTCTAATTTTACACTACACGTCTGTTGCTACGTTGATAAAAGAGTGATACACCTCAAAATTGACGGTTTTTTAATAGAATATGTTTAAGATTCTGTGTTGAAACGATGTTTTAATTTGGACAGGCATTGTCATCATCCATTGGACATCCATTGGACATCCAGACTTAATTTCAATCTGATCCATCGATGGATCCATCGTCGATGGACTTAGTTACGAATGTTTTAAAAACGTACGTTATTCAACGTATAAAGGTATGTTTACATTTGAACATTAAAAAAATGTTTATCTCGTGCAAAATATTTTCTAACAATAAGTCTGTTTGCGACGTGTTGCTTGCGCTGATTTGCGAAGTGAAATTTTTTTTAAGATCGCACGAGGAGTTTTACTTTTGTTACCTCCGGTAACACAAAAATTTATTAAATTAAAGCTTAATTCAGACAATACGTAACAAGCAACAATAGCTTGCTGCTCGCAATGATAAGAGTTAAAAATCTTTTGCTTTTCAGTGTGCAAATTTGTCTGGATTATGGTTTAAAATTTGTTTAACATATTAATTTAGTCCATAATAATTTATTATTGTTTATCAATTGTACGGTAAAAAGATTCTAGTATTTGTATTAACAAATTAGTCCAGTTTTAGTCCATTGTATCCTAAAATGGACGTTTTTAAGAAGTCCAAAATGATAACACTGGATATTTTTAAAACGTTTTCAAAATATCCATGGATCTAATCTGGATGTTTTTAATATGTCCAAACGTCCAACATGTACATTTTAAATACATTTTTTAAACATTATTGTGCTGTCTGGGAAGCAATTTCTATAATCTATTATTTATTTCTATACAGCTTTACTTTCTTGCCATAGGTATTACATTTTCAATCACAGCTTCGCCCATAAGTACAAGCACAAACTAAATAAATACTAAGCACCAATCAAATTAATATAAACGGTTTGTTCTAATGAAGAAAAATTAAAAAACAGTTTTGATTTATGAAAAAATAATACTTTATTTCTTTTCTGTTATAATTTTATTAAAATAAAATACCATCTTTTTTTTCTCATCTACTAAATTGAGAGCTTTATATATACGGAAAGAAAATTTTTACTAAAAGAGAACTCTGAACTTTTGTTGGACGCAAATCTGAAAATAATTTTGTCGGACCATCGAAATAATTATGTTGGAAACTAAAAGACGATGAGAAAAATTGCGCGAAAAGTTTTGATATTCTAGCAACCAGTTTTAATTTCCAATAAAATTATTTTTGTGCTCCAACAAAATTATTTTCATATTTTTGTTCAAGAAAATGTTATGTTTTTCAACAAAATGGTTGTACTCCATGTACTTATGGCCAAAATTGTGTAACGTGGTTTCTTTAAAACTGTATCACGAGTTTTTAAGATTCGAGCCTTAATATTTATCAGAGTTACAATACTTTTCCACATAAACAAATAAATTACAAATGCTTTTTCCACAAAAATATATTAGCTTTAGGGTTAATTTCTTTTTACTATCTCAAAAGTACTATAATTTTGATTTCATACGATATGTTTCTATCACTTGCGATATCCCATATCTGTCAATCTCCTTGGCGTCATACGATTATTTTCGATTCTGACAGCCTTCACGAGAATAGACACATTCGCAATGTGTGTAAGTCGAAATTCTACGATCCACGATTATCACATCTCGTAAAAGCCACTAAAATTGTATCAAATGCCTCTTTATCCCTTATTTTCAACATGCGAATATCGAGCCTTGAATATTTCAATTACCTCCCATTGATAATGACGAATTTTCCATTCGCGACTTTATATGATGATTTAATAACGATGCCCGTTGCATGAAATTATTATTGTTATTATCATTAAACACTTTCACGTTACCTCGTTACATTTCCAATTTTGATGTATGCAGAACATGCTAGTGTTTTATGCTGGAATTGTTACGGAAATCATTTACGCCAATTATTGATATATGATCGCAAAATTAACTGAAGTGTAGCCATGAGCGCAAATTATCATTTACAATCAAGATCAAATAATCGGCGAAGGACAAAGATACAACATATACGTTTATAATTTTGATGTTTTGCGTCAATTACAATTTTATTCTATTACGTGAGAAATGAGCTTCAACGCGTGTTTTATCTCCTATTATGCGTAATAAAAATAATTTATTATTAAGATATTGATTATTTCCCTCTTATGTATGCACATATTATACACACACACACACACACACAGACATCTTATTGTGCAATATATGTGTGTATGACATACGTATATGAACGGGAAATGTCATATGAATAACAAAGAGATTCCGCGGTGATGGAACGCACGATTATTAAAGACTTTCATATTTTACTACATTTCCAATTTTGATTTATGCAGAATATGTGCTAATGCTTTATACTGGAATTATTACGGAAACATTTATGCTAATTATTGATATACGATCGCAAAATTAACGAAGTGCAGATATGAGCTCGAATTATCATTCACAATCAAGATCGAATAATCGATGACGGTCGATATAGTATGATATATATTTGTATATATCTCAATGTTTTTCGTCAATTACAATTTTATCGTGTGAGAGATCAGTTTTAACATCTTATCGACTTTAGCACTTTTGTACATGTTTTATTCCCCGTTACACGTAATTTACTCTCTCTATTAAGATATTGATTAATTCCTCTTTTATTTATGTATGAGAGTACACATACATCTTATTAGACACACGCATAGGAAATGTCACGTGAATATCAAAGAGATTTCGCAGTGATGTAACGCACAATAAGACAGCGCTATGTAGACTCCATTATGAAGGGGCATCTATTGTGTCTTTCCGTTGTATATACGTGTCGTGAAACAAAGCGCGACAAAGGGCAAAACACGTAGCGGGGCGATAAACAAATGGTTGTCAAGCCCCCAAAAGAACCTACTGTCGCCAGCAATAAGCATTGAATTATGGTCTAAGGAGTAATCAAATCTGTACGCTATATATGGCAAATGGGTCATTTAAAGACGGTATTATTGTCGAACGTGAAATATAAAAGTCAAATTGATATCGATATTCAGAAATGTTAAGTTGATAACGAATTCACCTTGCATCACAGTAATGTACATTAAAAGTTGCTACGATACATTATAATTAAAGCAAAGTATATTTAAAATGTAAAAGCATATATAATAAATATTTTAAATAATTGAATATCTGATAATGAGATATACGTTGTCACGTTATTTAACAGAATATACATATATTATTTCACTTCAAAGTCGATTGTATTATGCTAGTGCATTTAAATAATTTATGTGAGCAATCAGTTTAGTCACGCATTTGTTACATGAGTACGCTACACATGTGACGTTTTCTTTTTTATTAGTTAAAAAAGAAATTTGTTTGCAATGATAAAATATACAATTCTATGAAAATATCCTTCATTAATTGTAAAAAATAAAATAGATGGCTTATTTGCTAGTAATAACATTTTATTTCGCTGTATTTAGAGAAGGATTTATTACAGTGAGATATAAATTTTATTATATCTCTCAGAAATAAATTCTTAAGTATCTCTTTCTCAGTATAATGTTACGCTTCAAACAACGCAAGAAATTAATTACGAATAAAGAACGAAGTACATTTCTTATGGTGGAAAAAAGGGGCGTCGACTATAAGGAAAGTAACAATAGTCGAAGAAAAAGCTTTTATTATGAAATCCAATTTCTTGTATACAGAAACCGTTTCCGGTCAATCAATGTCCGCGTAAAGACGAAACTGCGTGATGTGAGAGACGCGCCATGGATTATTTACAGGATTACTCCGACGCGGAATTAGTTATTCGTACTGTGTTGAGTAATGCGACGAGTATGGCGATTGTTTGATCGCGCATGGTGGAAAAGTTGCTCGAGCGAACGTGACGAAATGTGTGTAGATGCACGCTTGACGTAATCTCGATTAGCAATCGCGACGTTCGTCGAACGAGGACAGCATCCTTCCCTTCTCGGCATTCTAACGACGCGTGTTTTTCATAACGGATATGAAGCGAAAATATGAGCCCCACGTCGAGCCGGCGGTTTCTCGACCACAAGACATATCGTGCCCGTGACACGCGACCCCTCTCGTGCATACATTTCTCTCCTTTTCTTTTTGTACGTTCTCTCGCCTTTGAACCCTTGCGCGGCACGCGCGAGTTTTCGTGATGCATGAGTGATGAATATGCAAGACGTGAGCGATGGTGGCGACGGCGACGAGACGGCGACGGCCGGCGATGGAGATGACGGTAACGATGCTGCGGCGATAATGGTAATGATAATGATGATGACGACAAGAAAAGCGCGAACCGCGATGTCAGGTAGGGTGCTGGTTCCGCATACATCCGTATCTTTATCGCTGTAGATGTCCCGCAAAGTTTTGACGTCAACGAGAGGAGAGTATACGACAAGATGACCCCTCGTCTTCCCTCTTTCAGTTACGATGCGGGTGCTACATGTAGAGGGGGAAAGAAAGAGAGAGAGTATTAACGTGAGAGAAAGCGACCGCGCCGTGGCAGGTACGGGTGTAGAATTATTAACTAGAGCTAAGATGATAAGCCGATGATAAAGCCGAGGAGAGTATAGAGCTCTCTCATCGATTTTCCTTCTATGAACATCTATGAACACTATACTGCCGTGGATGATGTCTGATCGGTGCGCAATTCGCGCAGTCATGCCAAAAATGCTAGAGTTTTGTTTTTCTTTTTTTTTTTTGTTTAGTTTACCGCGGATGCAATGATTTTTTTTAGTCCTTTGCATTTTATACTTGATGGCTTTGACATACCATTCATGATGTATTTCGCGCTCTTTAGCGCGGGACTGCCTCTGATGCGGATTGTAACTCGCAATATCAAAACTAGATTAGCTAAAAATTAAGTTAAAAACGCAAAATTAATACGACGGCAATTTTGTCAGATGACAAAGGTAGAACTGGCGATCAAAAAGTTCCTGTGCCTTCTCTTTCTCGCAAAATGTGAAATGTTTCAGTTACAAAATGTTCTCGCTAAATATTCCAATGAAAAATGAACTGTTTTACAAAATTATTAAATTTAGGAAAATATAGGAAAAAGTATCTACGTTTATAGCGAAAATTTCACTATGTAAACCTGGAAAGTAATACTTGTATAAGTCAAATTACAGTTGCTTCACGTACTTTCTGCCGATGCGGGTGCAGCTTCCGCTGGAACTGCGGGTGCAGCATCTACGGGTGCAGCTGCAGGTACGACTCCTTCAGCTGGTGTGGCTGGTGCACCTTCCGCTGGAGGAGCAGCTCCTTCGGCCGAAGGAGCTCCTTCCGCTGGTACTGCTGGTGTCTCGCCTGTATAATTTTTATTTCATATAACGGATTAATTACAATTTTCCATTATAGTACACTCGTTTGCAAGCGAAATGCTATATATAAAAGCAGCGACATTAACAATGTATTAAAATTGGCAATAGCTGATCGATATATATCAATCTTTTAACATGCAAAAAAGGTATTTTGAATCATTTTTTTAATTTCTCAACAAGCAAAATGTGTTGTTTTAATATTAATCAGTATAAAATAATATTGTTATAAATTGACAACAAAAAGCTTTTATCATCGATTGTTCATTTAAACTTTTAATTGCTTCTGCTACAAATGTATTCCGTACGGAACGTATGCAGTGTGTGTTTATGGTTAAAGAATTAATGTTGCAATTCAGACTCATTCTATAATATATTTTTTGCAATTTTAATAACAGTTTAATACTTTGATGTCGTTTTTGTAAAATTTTGTTTTATCAAAAAAAATTAATATATATAAATTTAACCTTCAGCTGGAGGTGCTGCAGGAGTTCCTTCTGCGGGTGCACCCTCTGCAGGAGTAGCAATTGGTGCAGAACCTTCGGCTGGAGGTGCTCCTTCAGCAGGCGCACCTGGTGGGGCTGTTCCTTCTGCAGGTGCAGCTCCTTCTGCTGGTGGTGCAGCCCCTTCTGTTGGTGGCGCAGCACCTTCCGCCGCCGGCGGTGCAGTACCTTCTGTAGGTGGTGCGGCTCCTTCCGCGGAGGTTACTACAGGTGCGCCTTCTGTATACACAATTAATATTCTCTCAATGATTATATACAAATATTTATTTAATAATTATATGAAAAAAAGATAGAAATGGCGCGTTGTGTATCAAATTTTCGACCAAGAAAACTCTTCTACTAAACAGACGAAACTCTGTATGGAAAAATCTTGAAAAATGTCGTATATATTGTAACTCAAAATATTTAAAAGTCTAAGAATTTACCAGTAGGCGCTGGCGCAGTTCCGTCCGCCGGTGGGACACCTTCAGCTGCTGGAACAGGAGCTGCTGGAACTCCACCTTCAGCTGGAGGTGTCGGCACAGGAACTGGTGCAGGTTCCGCTGGCGGAGGTACAGGAGCTGGTGGAGTTGGCACCGGTTCTGGGGTCGGTGTAGGTTCCGGTGGCGGTAGTTCCGCAGGTACTTCAGCCTGTTCGCCCTCCTATATGCAAAACGCATACTTACTCAAAATTAATTAATTATTAAACAGCATCTTTAACATCTAGAAGACGTATTAATTATGCAGTGTATTGATATCGACAAATCAATACGTATATTATTCTAAAGTAACCACAGAATTCCAAAGTTCAATCATTATAATAGCATTTTTTTTCAAGCGCGACGTCTTCTGCGCCCGACTCCTATTTATTTTTGGATATTATTTAACAATTTTAACATTTATTATTCTTTACGAATCTCTTGGAATTATGCAATTCCATTGAAAATTCTCTATAAGAAAGCGTTATATTAATTAAAATTTAATTTTTTTTATAACTACCATAATAAGCTGTTTTACATGTTTTTGAATTTGTTTGGTTTTTTACTTATCCTTTGAGAAAATTGTGATTAATCCATATCCAATAATGTTTCCAAATATGAATGATTTAAATCTGGGATATAAAAACACTCCAGGTCGACCTACATAAAAAGAAATCAAGCGATTTCCGGGTTAAGATTGAAAGTGTGATTGATAAATCGGATACGTTTCGTCACGGAGATCGCCGTGAAAAGTGCTCTCATGAGCAAAACAATTGCGCGTGCAGCTACAGCGCAAGCCGTCACCGACACGCGTATTAAATTGCGTGATTAACGGTCAACGCGCACATTTCGCAAATGTACTCGCATTAAACCACCATTTATAGATACGTCATTTGTCCCGCTTTCGATAATAATGCTTTATGAAACGTTCAGCCGCGAGCTTACGACGCGCCGCGCGCCTCCCGAGCCATGGCTTCGTTGACGGCGTTTTGCGCTATAAATCATCATGGCCATTGTGATCAGCGAATATTGTCAAGATAATTAAACAATGTGCACGACACCCGATATGATTATAAATACGATCGAATGCGTGAAACCCGCATTGAACGAGATGACGGTGGAGAAGATTACACCAGTATGTCGAGAACAATCGATGGATCCCGAAAATAAATTACGTGATTGTGAAAATCGATACACGTAGCGTACGATCGAGTGGAAAAGGACACTCAATGTATTTGCCTAGAATTGGTATAATGAGGCTTTGTTGAAAGTGCCATTTAATTGGATATATTGATATCCATTATCGGGACACACATTAGGACGATAATTAATAATAAACGTAGATAAAAGAGAGTACAATATAAAAGTACGAACGAACAGAGATTTGCCATGGGATATTTAAAATACAATATTTTTTTATTAATAAATGTAAAAGGGCAGATATGAAAAATAGAATTGAAATTTTTCTGTGAATTAATTAAATAAATTGTACCTATAATTACAAGCACATTAATGATGGTAACAAAATAAATTATCGATCAAAATCGTACGTGCGTTTCATTTTGGAAAATACTAGTCGGTGGAAAAACTTCTCGCAAAGTGTGTGGGAGGAAATGAACATATCCATAAATTAATAAAGCAAATCGAAATTGTCAAAGCACATAAGAGCTTATGTATCATAGCGAATGTGATGAAGCTGTGTCGAAAGCGTCACTCGATAGCGAATAGTTATAAAGCGAAATCCAGTTAGTAATATACCTACCACGTCTCTGAATATTGGCTCATCTGCAAATTAAAAAGCTCTTTTGGCATTATTCTTATTATTTAACGTTGTAATGAAATTCAAATCCTTTGAAATACAAATCCTTCGCAGTATTTACGCTATATTATTTTACAAAAAAAATTATTTAGAGTTGAGATAATAAGAAAAATGCCAAGAACTATATATCTCTCATCAAACCATATAATGTAACATTTTAAATTTAAATCAAAAGTAATTTAATTTTGGTCGCAATATATAAAAATGTTTTTCACGTTTCATCAAACTTCAATTATCAAGATAATTTCGAAAAAAATGCTATTATGTATATATCTTATATCATTAAGAATGTTAATTAGTCTCTTTTATACTAACTACTTGACGAGAAACGAATAAAATAATAATGTAACGTACATAAAACATGAAACGTACATAAAATGTCGGTTATATTATCTTATTATATTATTGTACATTTCAAAGGTTAAATAAAACAAATATAGAATGTGAAGGGAATATGAAGAAACATAGGAAAATGACCACACATAGGAGTTTTGAGTACCGTTAAATATTTTGTTTTACAGTAAATCTTAAGTAAAGTAATATATCCCCACCCATTATTTTCTACGATAACATTTCTTCCCTCGCATTTGCAGAAAGACAAATTTTATTATACTTTTTTGGTGAATTCTGCACGCAATTCTATGTAGCGTTCTATGGTAATTTACAAGGTCCGTTAGAAAAATACATTACATCCATAAAAAAAAAAAAAAGTGATAGAACAGGTACGGGTAGAGTGTAGAGTAAAACTGTGGATCAGATATTGAATGTGAAAAAATTTCGATACAATCCGGGATGTATATACGAGCATGAATCGTAACGGATAGACGGACGGGCGAGAAATTTGTGCGTGCAACTCACGATAGCGGGACACAATTAATACATCGAGCGTTAAAAAAATGTAGAGGAGGCTCTTTGGAGTTTCTGCATAGAATGGTTATTGACGAGTGCGGACAGAGGCGAATCCTGCGTTTCTCTCGGGAACGACGAGAATGAGATTTTTCAATTCTCTCATTCCTCCACCGATACTGGTGGCGCGGCTTCTTCCTCCTTTACCTTCTTTTCGTCGCCCTTCTTCGACCAGTCGGGTTTCTTCTGCAAAATCGAGAAAACGTTGCGTCAAATACAAACGGAAAATCTCGTTACACGTTGAAAATTAGACTCGCACACCAGTTAGCAGTGTCGGGGTGAACGTTCGCAAAGCTGAGGGGATAATGCTAACGGGGTCAAAAACTTCTGAAAGGGGGCTATTCAATTCGAAATGCCAAAAATCTAGTGAACGAGATCTAGACAAAAATTGCTTCGTGGTCGTAGTCGTGGATCGCGTCGCTGTATACCGTTCAATTGCGAATTTCTGCGCCAGCTTTCGGGATCGCCAATTCTCTCATGCTACCAAAAAATTCTCTCGACGTTTCCGGGAACGTCGTCTGGCAACTACGTTCAGTCACGGAACATCTACGAAGCCGTGCAGATTGTTAGTGGAAATAAGAAAAAAAAAAATAATAATACGGCAGAAGGAGAATCACGAGTTTCTAACGAAAAATAAAAATAAAAATAAATAAAAGGAGATGAAATAGAGAAACTAAGACAACGGCTTCCAACGTTGTCGAGAATTGTTGGGAGCTATGCGTCTAAATATTGTTAAGGAAATTCACGAACAAACGAAACGTAATATTGAAGAAAAGATTACACTGAAGACTCGAATTACCACGAAGGTTAAAAACGAAGGGAGCTTCTCTTCTAACCTATCTTTCCATTCTCCCACACACTACACGCGCGAGCTATTTGTTCTTCTATCTAGGTATATACTCTCATCTATCACACACATGTCATTCTCTCTTACACAAGCATGTCAAGCTACAAGTTGGTTGTTAAAGTTTTACCTTATCTTTTGACGCATTCTGCGAACATAATGCAAGAGCAATATAATTAGTCGACAGATAAGACATGGACACTGATTAAGCGTACATTTAAATATTACTTAACAAGTAACACGTCGTTCATGGCTCACATCGTAGGTCATGATCGACATATCGCGATCGATACGCATGTTGATCGTTGAACATATTTTTTTCGTGATTATTATTTATTGTAAGTGAGAGAAAGTTTGGTATTTGTGATTATAATGGTAAAATATTTTAATTACGATTAGGATCTCCATCTCCATAGCTATAAAATTAGGAATACTAATAATTATATTTTATTATAGTTGTGTTTCAGTTGCCAATTAGGTATATTTTTTCTAGTAAACATCACAAACACTTTTCTTTCAACGTAGAAAAAAAACTAGATTCAGATAGTGAGAGATTTTTATATATAAAACGTCAAAATGCGTGCACGATTGTGCATAAATAAAAAGACAAAAAGACAGAGCAACAAATTCTATATAATCTGAAAGCATAGCGGCCGAGTGATGGCGATAAGACAAGCTAAAAACGGGCTTCAATTGCGTGATCAAACGACTTTAGTTCAAGAGTGCGTGTTTCTGTTTTCTCTTTTCAGGCTTTATATATATTTTTTTTTTCTATTGATCACTTTTTCAATATTTTGCATTCGGTAGCGATTCGGCGGAACGAACGATTTTGCTTGTGAGAAAGTGTGCGGCAATTAACACCTGTAAAAAGAAGATAAACGAGGCGAGTGCGCAAAAAAAAAAAAAAAACGGAAGGCAACAATATAATTAGATGGTGAAAAGTAGAAAAACGCGAGTGGGCACAGGCATGTGTGTGAGTAAAGCGCTTCTGCCATTATATGTGGAATAAAAATAGAACTGTCAGCTTCAAATATATTTGGCAAGCCAATCTCACCTTTTTGCTTCTCTCTTAATCTTATACTTTATTTACTTCGCGCTGGATTACCGCTATCGCGAAGATCTTTGCGAAACTACATGAATGGGAAACGCGATAAAATAAAAAAATAAAAACAATGCAGATATTGATATAAATTGGACAGTGTTCTAATTGCCATATAATGTGTCGGACAAAAAAAGAAACAAGATGAAGGAAATTAAAACGGTGCCTGAGAGAAAAGCGAATTTACGAGAGGAAGTAAAACGGTGTACGATCCTCGATAAGCCGACCTTTCACCTTATCGAATATTTGAAATACGCGCTCGCGCGTAACATTGAAAGAATTTCTCTTATCATGACGCAAAAATACAACCACACCCGGAGCAACAGTCGTGTTATCTGATTGTGCATATAAAATACAAGGTGCTATGAACGCATTAACATTCTCGTGCACAGCGCGTCACGTTTTCATTTCGTATAACGGAAACAATCGGGAATTGAGATCAATTCGAGTTATCGAGTTTCGCATCCGATGGACGTAAAAGAACGAGGGAAATGAAAATCAAGAGCTATCTGTCGCAGTGAGAAATCCTAGAGAGGAATAGACTGTAAAAAAAAAAAAAGAAAGAAAAAGAAAACAGAAAAGAGAACGAAGGGAAATCTGCTGATAAGGGATATGAGAGAGTATCAGAGAGGCATCTCTAACTTATTCACGTGCGCTTTCTTCGATCGTTTATTGCCACAACTTATCGCTTCTATATATAACAGTTGTACGTGAATATTTACGCAGAGTCAGCTTCTCCCTACGTCTCGCTCGTTTCGATCGTCTATAGTCCGCGCAGAAGAGGGATGTGTAATCAAATGTCGGCTAACTCCTAGGATTGTTCGTGCAATTTTCAATTCTCACTCGTTAATTTGTTTTCCGCAGGGTGCTAATGAACTAGTCTGACAACAGTTCGAATGAACGTGACGGCGAAAACGCGCCGGCGCGGCGAACACGCGAGACGTTGATGGAAACAGTATCAAAAATATTCTACGCGTTCCTTTTCTTCTTTTTCCCATTATACGTTTTTCACGATTTTTTCGCGTGTGCGGTTATTAAGTCGATTGTACATACAAATGTGATCGTGTTAAGTCTTTCTTCATATATGTGTGTGTGTGTGTGTGTGTGTGTGTATACGCGTTTGTGTGTAGAAGTTTCTTGACTATCTCGTTTGTTCTCGATTTTTTTCTGTCGCGTTGTAATAATAATGTATTTTATTGAGATTTCGCACTCAAACTGTTTTTTCTTTACTCATTTTAAATCTACTTCTTGGTCTGCCACTCTGCCTTCTCGGACTTCTTGGGCTGTGGAGAACAACACAAATTGCCTAATCAACTACCAACTACTACTACATTTCCAATACAAATACGTATGTACATGTCTACAGACAGTCCTTTTCAGGAGATCCTGCTTGTGTGCAACGAGAGAAATAGTTTTTTATATTGAATGAAGCATTTTTATTAATATCAGCTAATTATTGTAATACTTGCTCTTGTGAGAAATTTAAATAATAAATCGATATACATATATAAAAATAGATATCAACTGAACTAAGAGCAATTACGACAATATCTCGACAAGCATAAACGCACGAACGTGCTGTATTATTAATTAAATATTGACTTTGTTTTATAAATAAATAATTATCGTAATCTCAATTTTCCAATCTTATTTAAAAAAAAAATACGCGCTATTAAATAGAATATTACAAGATAGTTATGAGAAGATACCCTCCTGTATATTCATATTTATTATTCACATTATCACAGTCATTGATTATTGCAATAATACATTTTGCGGTTAATCGATTAGCATAAATTCATCATCCTCGATATCACAATAACCTGATATATTTAACTAAAAGTATCCGCGGTTTGATGAATCGATGATTAATTATCGTGCGATTACCCATTGCTCGAGATTTCCGAGAATTTTGGTTTCCAAATTAGCTGATAAAATAACGCTCCTCCAGGGAAATGTATCATCATAAATATTTTAATAGCAGCAATATCGAAATGCAAACAAGGCTGTGTAATGCTGATCTCCTAAATTGGACACAATACATTGAACGTAAAAACTGCTTAAACGAAGAAAACCTGCCAATTGGGTTTTGTACACAAAAAGAAAACCAGGGTTACAAAAACTGTTTTTTGATTCACTGATAAAACATTTACTATGCTACTACAAATCTACCCGTCGTAAAAAAAATAAGCGTCCTTTGCAAAATTCAATAACTATCGATGAATTTATCAGAAATTAAGCAAAAATGCAAGTACATGATAATAATATTAGGAAATATTAGGACACGTAATTAAACGAATGAAAATTAAAAGTTTTTCCACAAAAAGTCCACTTTTGTACATCTGGATGTCGTCAAAACGTTCTCTACCGCTGTCAGTGTCCAAACAATTATAATTCTATAAAATTACGTAAAATTCTCCCCAGTTTATATATATTTCCGTAAGATTCCTTAATGATGACCAATTCAAAGAACGCTTGAGTAAACCTTTGATGGGTAGGAAAAAAACATTTTTACAAAAAGATTCATGTCGCCTGTAGATACGAAGATTTGATCGAAAACGATTATCCTTACCTCCTTATCCTCCTCCTCCAAGGTGAATTCCTTCTTCTTGACTTGTTTCAGCTGATTACGGAAATTGAATTCGGCGGCTTTCTTTTGGAGCTTGGCAAACTTGTTCTCGTACTTAGACACTTTCTTCAGGGTCGGCTTCATGCTGAAGTGTGACAAAAAAATCTTATACAATAAAATATATTCTTATAGTACAATATAAGTTTTTCAGCAATGTGGAAAGAACAGTTTTGTTGAAATATTAAAAAATTTAGCTAAAAATAATCTAAAAATAATTTGTTGGGCTGTTAATGATATAATATAAGACACTAAAACTGATTACTAAAATGTCAAAACATTTTGCAGCATTATTCATTACGCTTGAGTTCCCTACACATTTATTTTCATAGTCCAACAAAATTATTTTCAGATTTCTCTAGTTAAATTATCACACACTTTAGCAAAATCGTTCTTTCTGTGTAAAAATTGTATTGCGTGATTCTTCTTATTATGACGTAGAAAGGAAAGATACTTACAATTTACCTCGGAGATCGTTGACCTGGCTGTTCAAGTCTGCAATCTGTGTGTATCGAATACTTCTATTAACATCTATTGCATTTCGATATTACGATACAATTTAATCATGCGTATTTATAATTTTCTTTTTATATACAAGATATAAGAGAAGAGTTTTTTTTTTTTACCATTTTGAATATGTCCTTATTTGCGCAATAAGGTAATTTAATTGCAATGAGACAATATTCAAACAAATGTACTTTGTACAAAAAATACCGGATGCAATTAAACTTTAGGTTTGTGCAATAATAATTCTTGTATACAGTAAAGAAATCTTGCGTATTAGAATCAAACGCGGATTAGTGGACTCACGTGAACGGCATGACAATCCAGCCACAAACGGTTAATCAAGAGAAAGAAGAAATGGACAGGTGAAATCAAACCGTATCGGCATGCGGCCTGCGTGGCAAAAGCACAGGCGAGAGAGAAAGAGAAAAGGGAGTTACACGTGTTGAGCAAGCGGGCAGATATTCAACTGGCGAGCCACTCGACGGATCGAGATTGACAGTAAATTGGCTTGCGGATTAACTGCAATAGCGGATGACGGCGATGGGGTCCGGGAATAGAGGAGCGGGGTTTCACGAATGATAACGGAAAAATGGAGGAGAAAGTGGGAACATGGGGGGGTTTGTGGAATAACTAATATCTAGAAAGTTGGAAAGATAGTTTCGCTATCCAAAACTTACCGACACATGTGCAAAAATATCTGATAGAAAGTAAAAATTTTAGCAAAAAGTACTCGTAAATGTGATACTATACGGTAAAATAATACTTTGCTATGTTTTTCGAATATGGATATCACACGATTGAAATATTGTGGTTAAAATGATTTCATTCAGCTTCATATAAAAACAAACATATATATATAATATACTATGTATATATATATGTATATATACATATAAATCGATAATTGCAATTTTATAACGATAACAGAAAGTTTCGTAGACATTGCAATAGATGTTCCATGATTCGTGCATTTTTATATCTGGGTAGATAAGCAAGCTGACTGTGGAATTGTTTCCGCAGAATTAAACACGTATATATATATATATATATATGTGTGCGTGTGAGAGTGTGCGTGAAGTACGTGTGTGTAAGAAATTTATGCAGGGAGTAAAAAAGTTGACGAATTTGTTGCATTACGTACATAAGTAAAATCTCGGAATACATTGAATCTAAATACAAGTCGACTTATATCGCCATAGCATAGTCATCATTATATGAATTCATCTCTGTATCGGAAAACACTTTACAGTTCTTATAGATGGCACTGATTATACTACTTTTCTGAAACATTTTCTTCAGGAGCAAAGCTTCGTTCTACAGCCACTTGTCGGATTCTCTCCCGTTCTTCTTCTCAGGAATCATTCAATCGTTATTTCTTTCCCCTAAGCTTATTCTCTTTCTCGCGCAAATTACGAGAAAGGTTGAGAGTAGGAACGACAAAAGAGAGAGAGAGAGAGAGAGAGAGGAATTGGATACGATGGGGTGTGAATTTCATTTTGGCCAATCAGGGGACCGGCTGGTCACGATCAGCTCTTTCGTCCTCCGTGGGTGATGAGAAAAAAATTACAAAATCCACTACAATCCGTTTTCTACACTGCCAGAGCTCTGTTCGTCTCATTCGAAGCGTGAAACTAATCCCACGAAATCGATATCCGGGTGATTTTATTTGCTATTTTGTACTCGAACGTTTAATGTTATATCGGGTGTAATACGCTCCAATTATCTCAGAATAACATTTGTTTCCAAAGCAGCGACGCGTGAACATATTGAAACTGTTTTGAATGCTGCAAGATAATCATTGGCAATGTAATAATGCACTATATGTGAATATATATCTGTATCGTAAATAGTTTAAATTTGTAATAAAATTGGAGACTGACAACCAAATTTGGTTAAAAAATGATGAAAAGGAGATAATTTCTTTTCGTAAAATCTCTTCATTAAAAAAAGAAAAGAAGAGAACAGAGTTCTGCCAAGAAGAATCCGCTATTTACAGCCTAATTGAAAACACCATGACAAGAGGACACTGACAGTCGATGTGGTGCGTGCGAATCGGTACAAAATCAATTTTGCTTCACTTTAAGAACATCGTAGACGTCTGCACGTGTTTACACCAATGTCTCTCTCGTGTGAATTGGGTATTTCATGTGCACATTTATATTGTCTCACGAAAGTCAAAATAAAATGGGCGAGAATTGGGGTGTGATCGATATGGAACAGAAAGAAACAATAAGATAGAGGGGAGGATTTTTTTGCGGTCTGAATATTTTCACAGCATGGCACTTCGGTTTCATGATCTTTTAATCCGTTCTTAAGCCAGTCCACCCTTGTGAGAGTTAAAAATGGAAAAAAAAACCAGAGGAATATAGACAACCGACTCTACAATTTTTAGGATCTATCTCTAGATAAACTAGTGTAGACGCATAAACATATGCATGAAGAAAATTATCCAATCGCATTTTACGTCCTTATGATAGAAATGTGATTGAATAACTTTTTTTCACGCGCATAGTTATGCAGCTATTCAAGTTTATCGGCGAATAGATCTATAAGGTGTTTATGGGAAAGTATACGAGAATCGTTTTCCAAAGTTGTATAAAACTGATTTGTACCCATCATCGACCGAGTGTCTATATATAATATTCGTCGAACCTTTTCTTATTTTTAATGACTTTCTTTGACATAACATCGCAAAACAATTACGTTCTTTTTTTTATAAGTTTTTGATAATTTATAACGCAGATAAAATGTGCTATTTTCAAAACTATAGTTTTCAAAATGTTAGTGACAGAAATCACGTTTTTTTTTTTTATCAAAGCCATAAAAATTCACACTCATGTGTTTTTTTTAAATTAAAAATATTGACGATTCACGTTTAGTTGCTCGTTTTTCTTCCTTCGATGAATATGAAGTGCCATACTTTTTATCGCGTAGCTACAAAAGTATAGTATACGCGAATTAAGCTCTGTTAACTCAATCGACTCGCGATGTCCGTTGCAAATGGAGTTTTATAAATTATAATCACGGAGATTAATAAAAAAAGTTGACGCGATAGACGAACATTCATGCTGTTAATTCAGTTGCATTTTTTTTTTTTTTTTCCATAAATCACCATTATCGTACCCTTTCAATCAAAAATCTATTCGAGTGTGTATTTTATATGTGTTACTTCGCAGCGAAAATTAAACTGTGCTGCGATTGATGTAACGAATATATATCACGTATCTCTCAAACTGACGTAACGTATAAAATACTTCTCATCTAAATATTATAACTACTTCGACATAAATCATATTTCCAGTAATATTTCAAAGATAAATAGAAAGGAAATGCTAATTTATTATTGTATAAATGTTATTTATATATAAACATACTATATTAATTTGATAACGAGAGTACTTATTTGGCCGGTGATTAATTTGCGTAATGAGATACGTGACTTCGGTAATATATATGTATATTTTGGCAGAATACAAATCTACCTCTAATCACGTGACGCTCGGAAATCAAATAGCGATCGGTCAAGTCTGCAATAACGCGAAATTAATCCACACTATAATGGAATTGTTCGCCTGTTCCTCATAATTTACTATGTCCAACAACGTTTATTATCCCGTGTTCATTACGCCTATATGTATAATATATATATATATATATA